AGCAGAAACATATCCACAGCATTCCCTTCGCTAACCAGCATACGCCTCGTGCACCTCTCTGCTTGTTCAGTCGCGAGAGGTGCACGTGGCGTATGCAATTAGGGATAACGGCGTTGAGTGTATAAGGGAAGCTTCACTCGCCCTGTCAAAGTGTGAGTTTGAATATTTGAGAGAAATATTGCGAGGGACACACTGATGACTATTAGGGTTCTGAGGCCTATAAATGCATGCACTTTCAAAATAAAACAACAGTTGTGAGTGCGCCTTGTTTCGTTCCACTTCTTCGTCCTTGTCTTTTTTCGGCGCTTTGAATTATTTAAAGACTGCTGGTTGTCCATCGTCAGCCTCATTGGTTGCTTGGTCCTGGGTGGCAGAGCTCCATGTTCCGGGTGTAGACCTTGGATGCGGCGACTTGATCGGGTCTCGATCTGGTCCTCGTCGGGTCCTCGGGAGCCTGGGTTCGGACTTGTACTGCGGGAACTTGGAGGGCTGCGCTGCACGGACATGCGGTACCCCGCACCTCCACCGAAATGTCACGAATGACAAGGCGAAACAAAGAATAACTGGGGAAACTGAAGCGTTTAATGGGGTGAACTTGTGCCCAAAAATAAAAAAAAAAGGAGCTAAGCAGATCGTCGCGGGCGTCGAAGTCGGCGTGACAGCAGAGTCGAACGCTAGGGCGAAACTGACTGCGGCTTGCCACGCGGAGACCTTTATGTACACACGTGGGCTTCTGGAATAATCGGCGTAGAAGGTTCACCGTGTAGAACGTTCTGACCTCAAACAAACAACGCGTATCTCGAATTTACCAGAACATTACCTTAGAGTCAACAAAAATGCGTCCCCACGGGAAGGAATCGAACCCTGGCTTTCTGCGTGGAAGACACGCGCAATAACTATTTGGCCACGAGCGCACTGCCTGGTTGGTGAACTGCGCTCGCGGCATTATATCACGTGACTATAATGTTAGGCCCCGAGACGCGTAGAGCCCAAGCTGATACACCAAGTTATCCCGCAACAAGCATTGTGGTTCATTCTTCCTTGAAGGAGAGTAGCCGTGAAGAAGGGAAACGTTATGATGACGCACGTTTGTAAAAAAAAAACACAAGAAAAAAAAGCAGACGGAGATAAAACACTTTTCGCAGGTGGTTTTGGTGTCAAACGCTCGTAAGATTGGCATTTTGAGACATGAATATGATGATGTAACCCTTCAGTGAGTGCTACATTTGTGGTAATTTTTCCGTTCATTCCGGTTGCTCTCTGTACGACTCACCTGTCCCTGTAACGTGCAATTTTCTGAACTTGTGTCTTTTATGGAGCTCATTATAGCGAAACAAATATTCAAGTGGTGCGGCCTACGAGGCAGCATTGGTTTCACTCTCTGTAAGTTTGCTGCGTTTTATTGGAGATTTTATCGATACGTGTAATTGCCACGCCAACCTCATTATGCCGTCGATAACTGGCGGAACCGGAATGCTCTTGATTGTAAACAAATGCCAATACATAGCGAAAAACCGTTAACGACGGACAGTTCAATTCACTTTCAAGGTAAAAAAGGCAAGCACCATCGCCCCCCCCCCCCCCCCCCCCCCAGCGCGAGGGTCATACTTTGGTCATACCTACGACAACGCTATGGCATCTCGTGCGCGAGTTCCGAAAGCACGGCGGAGGCATGGCGTTCGAATAACACGCCTCGCGGTTCTCAATCTGTCACTGCCTTAGTGCCTTTTCACCCCTCAAATAAGAGGAAAAAAATTTTAATCGAATCTAGCAGCCAGGTGGAAAAGGGTCATTGGGAGCTCTTTCGAAAAAAATCGCCGATGTTGTATTTGCGCCAACAGTGCCGCACTGTGACTCTTCTACATTGTTAGCGCGAGGACGACATCGGCGCTGTTTTCGCATTTTACTTAAAAAAAAAAAAAAAAACAACGGCGGGCATCATATTTTAGCACATCTGTTCATGTTCCAGATGAGAATTCCGCACCCCACTACTAGTTTAAACAACAAAGTTTTAACTATGCTGGGGTCTTGGTTTTTTTTTTAGTTGCTTAGGGGTAAAGAGGTGTGCCCAAAGTTGGTGAACATAGGCGAGTGACGCACGGGCAGACAGAAAGATTTTTACGAAACAATAACAAGAATACTCAGCGCAATGAGTTTAGTTCTTTTGAAAACATGTAATTTATACGTTGCAACTGATTGTGGAACAATACAAATTTAATTACAGCCAACGTTACCGCAGAAAAAAATAAAAATTGACGGGTTGAAAAGTTAAAAGAGATGTAATTGACTACACGTAATCAGTTACTTATTAATTTTAGTTCATTACGATTAATCAGTTACTGACTACGTGTAATCAATTAAATTATATTGTAAATGTTTATGCTTCAATTAATGTTTTTCTGCGGTTACGTTCGCTGTAATCGTAACTTTTTACGTAGAAGCCTCATTAAATAGTATCACCATCACACGCTTTTTACACGGTCAAAGTGCAGGGTGCATGGAGCCCGACACCCTCTGAACAAAATTCCAATTACTGGAAGGTATATGAAGGGGTGTACGAAGGCGTTATTTTCATCTACACCCAAGTTACGCGCTTCCTAGTCCCCCCAGAAACATACATCGTGTTAAAAGTGTGTACGAAGGGTGTTCGTTCGAACACAAACACACTTTCTACATTAATATGGGCGTGAAACATGTTTGGTTTGTAGCCCAGTGTCACTTTCGAAACACCAAATTATAAAGTACAACTCCCTAACATAGCATGCAATGCGTAACACGCGTGGTTTGTGCGAATGGTACTTTCATATAAAATGCATTACTATTGTGATAGTTTCAATTTCAAGAAAACCTTTTGATTTCCTTTTGAGGTTTTGTTTCAGCCTCGCAAACGCAAAGAGAAAGGCGACCCCTTCCTGAAGCAGACTTGAGGGCCTGTCCCAAAGCCAAATGTCCACTGACGCGCACTACTGACATCAATAAGAAGTAACACACACAAGGTCACCTAAACAATACGGACATAAATTCCATCTGTGGAAGTCAGGTTGAAAGCAGACAGGTGCTATCGCGGACAATATGAGCTAAAACAGCGCTCCGGCCAGCGCACGGTACTACCTGCGCCGCCTGTCGTCTTGCTTCGCACAGACGGCGCACCCTGAGGCCGAGGTAAATTCTCACTTACGCTCGCTGCTCCACTGCGCTCTTCCGGCCGTCTGAAAGAGAGACGGCGGGTGCGACAGCGGTCGTGTGTGTGGTAGGGCGGCAGGGAGATAGGGGGGGGGGGGGGGAGGAAAGAAGATTACACTTGTTCCTTTTTGCAATGGATTTACTTCATTCCATCGCGTAGAATCACGTAGGAAAACCTCTGACTGGTGAAGAAAAAATGTAGAAGTATCATAAATTGAAGCTGCGATTATCGTCTTTGGAAGGCACATCAAAAGACGTTGTACGTTGTTTCGTTTTTCCTTTTCTGAAGTGCAGGCGCAAAGTAGGACATTGTAAAATATTGGCCAACATTTGTATACGGGATTTAGGCCGGCTCCAAGGTATTTACTTTGTTTTTTATTGAGCGCAGCTGTGTAAAAAAGAAATAACGGTAACCATACATGTTACTGCGGAGGTTTTGTAACCTTGATTGGTGTGAAAAGGTTTTAAAACATTATATCTTTGTTACTGGGCCCACGTGTTTGTTTCAAACAAAACAAGTGCCGACAAGGCACCAGTGTTTTCTTTACAAATTCCTGTTTTTATTAAAGTTGAAGAAACAGTCATACATTTGCCAGGAGCAGGAGCTTGAAAGTTCATCGAAAGAATATCCATAGAGGACAATGTAAGACACAAAAGATAAATTGTCGGCGTGGAAGTTCAACTGCACTTAACAAGAAAATCGGGATCAAGGATGCACCGCTCAAAAGTATACGCTGGTTAACGTTGTCAAACAGTATGTCGCCATCGTAGCATCAAGGTTTGTTACAATCGGCAGAGGTCGAGTTCAGGGGGTCCTGAGGCGCAGTAAAACTTTGAAAAGAAGTTAATACCGCTTCCACGGCTCTCATCCTGTCTGGTAAGGAATCATAGAGTGCGGCTACCAAGTCTGACTCGACCCGAAGCGTGTCCCAATTCAGCTCTCACCGCTTCCCACAAATCGTCGGCAGTGGCGCGGTAGAGGGGACGCCGTGATATGGCTGCCTTGATCCACCTCCAAACGTCGTCGATGATTTTTAGATCGGCTCGTTTTAGGGGCCAGCGTTCATCGAGGAGATACTAACGTGACAACGCATTTTTCACTTCGGCGACTTCTTGAAATGCACTGAAATGCATGATAGTTGAAAATGTGAATATTGAACTGCACGGCACAGGCATCGTGATTGTCGTTCCGTCGGTTAATATTTTCGCTAGCAGACGGCCGGAAGGGTGCAGTGGCGCAGTGAGCACAAGTGATAATTTATCTCGCCCTCAGGATGCGCCGTGTTCGCGAAGCGATGCGACAGGCGGCGCAGGTAGTACCGTGCCTCTGCCGGAGCGCTGTTTCAGCTCATATTGTCCGCGATAGTACCTGTCAGCTCACACCCGCCTCGGGAGTCGTGTTGTGCGCAGCAGAGTACTCACGTAGGAAAAAAATTGAGGGCAGTCGAAGTCGCCACAACGATTGATTATCCGTAATCTTTGTTGTAACTGAAATCGTAAGAACAGGAAGGACAGAGGCATCTCAGAGAGAAGCGCAGTCACATATGGCAGTGCAGGTTATACCCTGCGCGCCTTTAAAAAACACAAAAAAACAACAACAAACAAGCATTACTTGTAAAAGCAGGCAGCAGAGCAATGTGAAAACCCTGGTTGCGCAAGTATTTTTGCAATGCTTTCGATCTTTATATGTCAGTGACGCGGCCTCACTCATGTTGACAATATGTGATCGAAAATAGCATTTTTCGTTCAATAATAAGTGGGAATGATAAACTGATTTTCGACTTCCTGAGAATTATAATCATAGTGTCTTTCTGCAGCCTCACCTCCCGACCATCAAGCTTATTTCGAAGATTGGCTACACAGTGTCCTTCATCAGTCTCATCATCGCCTTCATCATCCTGGCTTCTGTCAAGTGAGTCAAACCTACATTTCTTCGCCTTAAAAATATAATTCGCCCAGCTTGTTTTTTTTTTCATAAATCAATCTTGCGGGTAATTTTTGCTTTCATTAACCGTTACATGCTTAGATCTTAATACTTGAATATATAAAAATATGGAATTTCATTTTCAAGCCACGCTGAAGTAAAATATCATCCAAAATAGAATTGGAATAGTCAGATGTCCATGCATGCTTTTCAATTCGTTTTTCGTGGAAATGAAGTAACGGACTTCGGAGCATGAAACTACAGTCATGCGGACTCCTCCACTCAGATCTCTTGCAAATCAAAATAGTTTGGCCAACATAATGTTTAGAAAACCCAGTCACTTCTCGTGTGTTACACGATGCGACAGTGTACATTGCCCGATACGGTAAACTCGATCGGCGACAAGCAGAGTGTAAATTTACGCTCAAAGATGTCGTCTCATCTGCGCGTGAGGTTGGTATGAGCGGGGTAAACACGCGACCGTCCTGATGTCCCTGATGTAAACTGCAAAGTCCCTGCGCCTTCAAGGGGTTGTTCAATCAGTATCGTCTGGGCTGCCGCCATCCCTCATTGGTATGTTGGTTTCCGATTGAATGACATTTGTCATTTAGGTTTTAAAAGCTACGCGCAAGATGTCAAACGTCGTACTCAGTATTGCGATTAGACGTAGTGTAGACTGCCGTGATAGTGTGCAAGCGTTATCTCTGGTTAGCAATACCTTAGGTTTCTTTCATATATTTCTGTGATTGGCGCTCCAGATGTCCTGTCGATGTACGGGCTAACTTCTTCGTGCATTATGAGAAAACTATACAACTGAATATGGCACTGGCAAGCGCTTTTCGAGAACGATACCACTGTATCAGTTTGCACACGTGTGAATATTTCCTTTGCAGAGTGAAATAATAATATTATTAATAATCAAGAATCAAAAATCAAGAATAAATTTTATTAGGTGTCCAGGAACGTCCATGTGGTCTCGGTACTGTCACACCAAAGCTTACTACAGTAAAAGTGAGAAAAAAATAAGAATAACAATAATAATAATAATAATAATCATAATAATAATAATAGTTTATTAATCATGTAAGTATGGTTGATATGAAGATAAAAATCTGCTCGAGCAGCTTGACTGGTCTTCAAGTACAAAGGAAGGGTAAGAAGAAGTAAAACAAAATAACACAATAAATTATACCAGTATGCAAGGTACTTACATCATAAAAGTAACCAAAATCACAAGCAAATTGTCAACAGCAAGCTTCACCTACACTAAGACGTAAAGAAACTAGAGTGAGGACGCAGGCAAGCGGGTGACGAATCATAGAAAATCCCAGAGACAAGCAGCTAAAAAGGACAAGAATCTGAGACGGTGTTGTGCTTGTCTCTTTTTTGGCTCCTAGTCTCTGGGTGTTTCTACAATGACTCAGACTTAGACATTAAAAAGCTGAACACAAAATAATAAAAACGTCATTAAAATTATTTTAGCATATCTTAGTACCGAACATAAAGGAAAAAAAGCTTTCCATGCTTTCCTATACGGCACGAAGTTCAGTTTACCTGCAAGTGTATGTAACAAAAATAAAGAAGGTTATAGCTATTTAATAGCGATAGCCATAAATGCCAGAGGCAATCGTCTCCAGAGTTGTGTGGAGGTGTAGGTATTGTTAAGTTATCATTATATCTTGCAGAAGTACTAAAGCTTTTTATCTGCTATTGGGCCAAATTCGCATTCCACGACTTTTACCTTGTTCCTGTGCTTCAGGAAACTGCGGTGCCCTCGGAATAGCCTGCACATGCACCTGTTCCTGTCTTTCATCTTGCGCGCCCTTGCAGTCTTGGTCAAGGACGCCATCTTTGTGGACGGCATTGGTCTCAGCCCCAACATGGACTTCAGCCAGGACGTAAGTACGAGCAGGACTCCCGCTGTGAACTTCAAACTCCGTCCCTTAACCTCATTTTGCGTTGTGTTCTCCTCGGGAATGGCTAACCTCATTTGGCGGGCTGTGGTCCACATTTATTTGCGAAAAAGGGAAGATAATACCCCAAACAGAGGAAACACAAACGCTCTTACACACGCTCATAATATTCTGATATATCTAACGCAGAAAATGTGGCAGCTAAGACTTATCCGTAACTCCGACAGGTCAAAAGAGTTGAGCACACAGAAAGTAAACCAATTTGAACGCGGCACTTTTTTTCCTCACTATAACGTGTCTTGAGTTTGGCACTAGTAAAGTTGTACATTGGTTTTTCCCAAGCTTGAATAGACACATTCTTCGGCCGCCATGTATGATACTATCGAATCGTGCGCCGCACACCAAATCGCGCTTGGTGTCAACAAACTTACCGCATAACTAAATAAAAAAAAAGGTTTCGCTCTTTTTTGCAGTCACAGTGTTGGGGCCACTGTACTTTGCATAAACTTAGTTCGATGGATCCAAGATAAAAACAAGAATTTCTTTGCCTATCATACCAGTCACATGCAAACTTCTCGTAAAAGCATGACCAGCCTTCAAGAAGAGCCGACGGTATCAAAAGCTGGAGGAACTTAGTTCCTTGTCCTAAAAACGACGTGACCGTTGTTGACAAGAGAGTATCTGGACTCTGAATGCCCGGTATATTCCTCTGTCTGGAAGACGACTGCTCTCAAGTCGGATGAGAGCTACGCAGACTTGCTAGAGTAAGGATTCACCGTGTACAAGAATGGTTCCGACTCGAGATGGGAAAAATATTACTGTATCTTAATCCTACGAATAACGTCGGGAGGCATGTTGCGTTCCGCGTGTTTTGAATTGCGCTGACTTGGGCGCTGCCAGGAGTGAGGCGCTACCCTCGCATTTGGCGTCTCACCTTTTTGCCGGTTTTCACGATCACGTGACACATTAAGCCTACCCATTGAATCAGATCAGGTGTCTAAGTCACTTGAAGTCGCCCAGTAAATAGTTGCGTCAAAACGCACCGAGAAGGCTGGGAGTGTGGCACAATTTCTTGAATATCTGCAGGTTATAGTTTATTCGCGTATAATCCATCATGTTACTTCACAATTATGTATATTCATCGCGTTTCTCTAGCTTGTATTATAACGCAACTATTTAGGTGCGGATGATGTCAATGTTATATTATAGTTGAGCTAACTCTTCAGCTGATAGCGGAATTGCTGACCTCGGCTTAATGTGAATCAGCATCACGTGATCGAGCACCAGTCTGGGACACAACCTCAAGCAGTCGTAGAACTCACGTTGATCGCAATCTTTAAAAAAAAGTGCTGTTCCTTTCCTTTGTACTCAATTACGTTATAACCCGGGCTGAGAACCGATTCGGAGCGCGAAGCGTGTTCAGTGCACGGGGCCCAAATTGCTATGGCTACAAATTTGTGCCGGTTATACAAGCGCGCTCGAGTTTGTCGAAGGATCGCCGCCAGCGCTGAGGCAGAGTGCTCGGTAAACAGAGCTGAGTGCTTTCCACTTCGGCCAATTCCTTCGCTCGCCCCGTCCACGATGTATTTCGAATTAACGTGCGAGGGACTTTAAGGTGAGAAGCTGTCTAGGCCCGAGAAAGGCGGCGAAGGAGCTGTCATAACGCTATCGAGAAGTGTCCTTTCACCTGTCATATTCGCCTGCCAACCTCTGTATTTTCCGCGCCGCCTGCTGGAACTATCGCGGAATAAATGCCGTAGAAGACACCGATAAGAGGAAATTAACTTTCAGTAAGAGCTAGTCAAGTTCACTATCATACTGTTAAAAGTACAATTATATTTATTTTGTAAAAATAATATCCCTGCCACGTGGCAAAGGTAATGCCATTTCTATCGAATGAGAGCATGTGATCAACGAATAAAGTACACGTAGCAGAGCGCTTTGAAAACTACAGAAAACACAGAAAGAATAAAACACGTCAGGGACGAATACAGACACGCACAGTTCTTTCAATGAGCAAGGAACATTTATGAGGTGCCCATGAGGCTACTACGACCGTGAACTTCAAAAAATTGAACGAAAGAAAACGGAAAGAAAACGAAAATTAAACGAAAATAAAGAAAACTAAAATCCTCGAAATTTAAAATAGAACCAAATTGCTCACAAATTTTGAAATACCAAAGTAAAATGATAGGACAATAATGAAAATTAGCCCCTGAAAAAGGGGGAAAGGAAGAAGAAGAAAAGGAAGGAAATTAACCCTTGAAAAAAGGGAAAATGAAGAAGAAAACAAAGAAAAAGAAGGCAAAATGAATAATTAATCAAAAAAAGCTTTTACGATACTTCTGGCGTCGAGGAACTCCAGCTCTCTTCACGATAACGCCAGAGGAGGCTCAGAAACATTGTTCGCGGCGTATCTGATCTTAAACACCTCAAATATTTCGGGCACACACTTTGAACACACCAATGTGCTTGATTCACACAGAGATAAGTGTGGGCGCGAAATAATCGCTGCACAATCTTCACGGGTGCCTCACGCGAGACCGCCGCCAGAGCTTTTATCCGTTCTTGAGTTCAAAAAAACGTAACCATGCAGATATCCGGAGCGTGACTTGCGTGGGTCACTGTATTCGAGATTATTTTGTGAACACCTTCTAAAGGAAGGTCCGTGATCAGTCAAGTGTAGCATTCGCCTTACTTTTTGCACGTTCAATCACTGAACCCCTCTTTTTTTTTGTCAAGCACGTAAACAGAACTGTCTTCACAACTAAGTTCCGCTTTTCTCTTCTCGGAACACACAATTACGTCTTCGTCCATGTCCCTCCGAATCAGTGAAATAATAACTACCGCACATTGCTGCTTCTCTTGTACTATAAACACCTGGGCAGGGCTGCTTTTTTCCGCTCACCAATAAGATCTGTCCCGTCCGGCTCGTATGCCTAGCTTTACGACAGACAGCGAAATGCGAAATTTTACATCAGTTTAATCTACATTGATAGGGGTGTGTTTGAAGAACGAGCTAGAAATGCTCGTGTCGATGAAACGTGCTTTGGCGTAAAACAAACAAAGTGGAAATGACAAAGCGCGTCAATTGTTTTTCGCCGTTTGGAGCTTTCGGCGTTTGTCGTTTCGGCCTCTTGATTTCTCGGTATTGGGTCACTCCGTGTCAAACGTCCCGGACGTTGCGCTCGACCCCTTCCGATTTCTAAAAAAAAAATGCATGGCCTTCTGCCGCAATGCCCGTAATCACGCTCTGAAATTTTTTGTCGAAAAACCTTTTTCGATGACGTGAGCGCGGTTTTAACTTTTAAAAACAGCGTGAAACAAGGCATCACTCAATAATTGATGAAAAATCAGCTTTTTAGTGAAACATCTAGCAATATCTTTTTTTCTTAAATTTGCACGGCTTTGGACTTAAAATGTGGTTGCGCTTGTGAAGTTTTCTTTAATTTTTTTTTAACTGAACATTTTTTGAAAATGTTAACATTTTGTTATGTTAATAAAAAATATCTAATTGCTCCCGAGACTTAATAGAACTTTGTACCAGCTTCTCTGCAGGTATATAATCTAAAAAAAAAAGGTTAAAACCGTCAAATAAATATCTCGCACTAAAAACAAAATCCTAAATTTGCAAAAACGCGCGTTTTGACGCATAAACAGCCGTTTAATTCACCCTGAGGTGATCCAAGTAAAAACACAAAATATGGTGGGTTTGGAAGAACAATCTATATTCTCTTGATTCTAAACGTTTATTCAAAGTAATTTTTGTTTAGAGCGAGAAAATAATTTTTGAAGTTGAACTCTCGCACCACAACCCGGCGTCGCTTCTTAACGCCTCTTCGCCGCACACCCCAGCCTTTCGCTGGGGTCTGCCAGATGCACTTTGTTCGTTCGGCAACAAACACTCCCAATTGTATTTGATTTGATTGGCGTTGAGTCAATGGGAAGCCTGTTCTACGCATCTTGCACTTTTTAGCGTGAGGGTAGGTGCGGCCATAATGGGCCTTACCCGAGCATTATCTGGACGATTCTTTAAATAGAGTGCCATCACCAGAATATAATGTTTTTCTCGCTTCTACGTACGAGTTTTGTTTATTTTTGCAGAGCTTTTCTTAGAACGCAGACCTTAGGCGCCCGTTTCCACGTTTCGCGGCGTCGCTGTTGGCATTGGAGTCAAATTCAGCGTCGCCGTCGCCGTCGCAGTCTGGCTAATTTTAGCGGGAAATTTAACTGCAGTTGAGGTCACGTGACGTCAATTTGCCCCCTAAATCTAGCGGAGAAACTGAATTCGTTCATGGGTGGTGTAAAACAAAGTTATGTGATTTCATTTTCCCCACTAAATTTAACGGAGAAACTGAATTGGTATTAATGTCACATGACGCCAAATTCCCAGCTAAATTTAGTTAGGACACTTAACCCGCTGAATTTAGAGGGGAAATTTTCGCTAAATTTAGAGGAAAATTTGGCGTGGAAATTTAAAGGGAGAAGCAGAGGAGGAGGAGGAGGGGAGGAGGAGAAAAGGGGGGCACGGAGGAGGAGGAGGGCATACCCTTCCCTCCTCCTCCTCAAGAGCGTTGCTCTGATTTCGCATTACAGAGATTTGTAAACGTCTTTCACTTTAGAGCGCAGCTCTTAGGCGCCTGTTTTCGGGTTGAGCGGCGTCGGCGTAACCGCGCGCTTTGCATTATAGGAACGTTTCCCCGCTTAAGTTAGCGAGGATATTTTCCAGCTAAATTTGGCGGGGAAATTGACGTCGCGTGATCTTAACACCAGTTCAGTTTCCGTGTTAAATCTGGCGGCGAAAATGACGTCACGACTTCTTTTCACGTCACCCATGAAGAAATTCAGCGGCAGGAGAAGAAGAGGAGGAAAGGAGGAGAAAGAAGAGAGGAGGATAAACAGGGAAAGAGGTGGAGAAGAGGAAGAGGGGACGGTACCGAGGAGAAGGAGGGGAATACCCTTCCCTCCGTACCCTCCCCTCCTCC